ATGCAAGAAGAGCATAAGCAAGCCGAGAAGAATGCAATGGAAGAAAGAGAGAGAGCTCAGAAGGCCCTAGAAGAATTACAGGTTCTTCGAAAGAAAGCCCTTGAGGAACAGAATCAAGGTCAGGAGTCTCTGGAAGCAGTAGAAATAGCTCATCAACAGGCTATGGAGGAACAAAAGAAAGCTCATCTAACAGCTATGGAGGAACAGGAGCAAGGATGGAAAAAAATGCAAGAAGAAAAGAACAGGGTGGAGGCAGCTTTAGAAGAGCTTTTAAGGACACAGCAAAAGTTCCAAAAAGAGCAGGAAATGACTGAAGAGAAAGCAATACAAGAAAAACAGATAGCTCAGAAGACCCTCAGAGAACTAGAGATTGCTCAGAAACAAGCTCTTGAAGAACAAACAAGAGCTCAGAGAGCTTTGGAAGATGTAGAAAAAGCTCATAAACAGGCACTGGAGGAACAGAAGAAAGCTCAGATGGCTGCCATCGAAGAACATGAGCAAGCACGGAAAAAATCTGAAGAAAGCCATGGAAGAAAGAGAGAGAGCTCAGAAGGCCCGGGAAGAATTAGAGATTGCTCAGAAACAAGCTCTTGAAGAACAAACAAGAGCTCAGAGAGCTTTGGAAGATGTAGAAAAAGCTCATAAACAGGCACTGGAGGAACAGAAGAAAGCTCAGATGGCTGCCATCGAAGAACATGAGCAAGCACGGAAAAAATCTGAAGAAGAAAAGAAGATGGCTGAGGCAGCTTTAGAAAAACTTGCACAAGTTCAGATTAAACTGCAAGAAGAGCATAAGCAGGCCGAGAAGAATGCAATGGAAGAAAGAGAGAGAGCTCAGAAGGCCCTAGAAGAATTAGAGATTGCTCAGAAGAAGGCCCAGGAGGAGCAGGTAAGAGCTCAAAATGCTCTGGAAGCTGTAGAAAGAGCTCATAAGCAGGCTCTAGAGGAACAGAAAAAGGCTCAGATGGCTGCATTGGAAGAACAAGAACAAGCACAGAAAATATCTAATGAAGAAAAGAAGAGGGCTGAGGCAGCCCTGGAAAAATTGTCACAGTACCAAAAAGAATTCCAAGAAGAGCAGGAAAAGACTGAGAAGAAAGCCCTAGAAGAAAAAGAGAGAGCACAGAAGGCTCTTGAAAAATTAGAAATTGCTCAAAAGAGAGTCTTAGAGGGACAGAAGAAAGCTCAGATGTCTGCCATTGAAGAACTTGAGCAAGCACAGAAAAAATCAGAAGAGGAAAAGAAGATGGCTGAGGCAGCTTTGGAAGAACTGTCAAGGTTTCTGAGAAAGGTGCAAGTAGAGCAGAAAAGAGCTGAGGAGAAAGACATGGAAGAACGACAAAGAATTCAAAAGGCCCTAGAAGAATTGCAGATTGAACAGAAGAAAGCCATAGAGGAACAGACAAACGCTCAGAAAGCTCTGGAAGCTGTTGAAAAAGCTCAAAAATGGGCCCTGGAAGACCAGAGGAAAGCTAAAATGGCTGCCATTGAAGAACAGGAGCACGCATGGAAGAAATCCCAAGAAGAAAAGAAGATGGCTGAAGCTGCTTTGGAAAATGTTTTAAGAGCTCAGAAAAAATTTCAAGAAGGACAGGAAAATGCTGGGAAAAAAATCATGGAAGAAAAAGAGAGCATACAGAAGGCCCTCAAAGAATTAGCGATTGCTCAGAAGAAAGCACTGGAGGAACAGGAAAGAACTCAGAGTGCTCTAGAAGCTGTAGAAAGATCTCGTAAAATGGCCCTAGAAGATCAAAAAAGAGCTCAGATAGCTGCAATGGAAGAACAAGAACAAACAAGGAAAAAAATTCAGGAGGAAAAGAAGATGGCTGAAGCAACCTTGGATGAACTTTTAAAAACTCAGAGGAAGTTCCAAGAAGAGAAGAAAATGGCTGAGAAAAAAGCCATAGAAGAAAGAGAAAGAACTCAGATTGCCCTAGCAGAATTAAAGGTAGCTCAGAAGAAAGCCCAGGAAGAACAGGAAAGGGCTCAGAAAGCCCTGGAGGCTGCAGAAAAAGCCCATAAATGTGCTCTGAATGAACAGAAGAAAGCTCAGATAGCTATTCAAGAACAAGAGCAAGCATGGAAAAAATCTCAAGAAGAAAAGGAAATGGCTGAGGCAAGACTACAAGAACTCTTAAGGACCCAAAAAACTATCCAAGAGGAAAAGGAGAAGGTGGAGAAGAAAGCTGTAGAAGAAAAAGAGACACTTCAAAGAAACATTAAAAAATTAGAAGAAGTCCAGAAGAAGGCTCTGGAAGAGCAGGAGAAGGCCCAGGCATCTCAGCATGCTCTAGAAATTGCCCATAAACAGGTCCTAGAGGAACAGGAGAAGGCTCATTTGGCTGCCATGATGGAACAGGAACAAGCACAGAAAAAATCTCAGGAAGAAAAGAAAATGGCTGAGGCAGCCCTGGAAGATCTCTTGAGACAAGTCCAAAAGGAGCAAGAAACAGCTGAGAAAAAGGCAATAGAAGAAAGAGAGAAAGCTAAGACAATGTTAAATAACTTAGATATTGCTCAGAAGAAGGCTGTAGAGAACTTGTTGACAGCTAAAAAGGAGGCCCTGGAAGAACAGAAAAGAGCTCAGAATGCTTTGGACATTGTGGAAAGAACTCATAAGCAGGCATTAGAGGAACAGAAAAATGCTCAAAAGAAATCTCAAGAAGAAAGAAAGATGGCTGTGGCTGCTTTGGAAGAATTATCAAGAGCTCAGAAAAAGGTCCAGGAAGAGCAGCATTCAGCAGAGAAGAAAGCAATTAAAGAGAGAGAGAGAGCTCAGAAAGAGTTAGAAGAATTAGAGAATGCTCGGAAGAAAGCCCTGAAAGAACAGGAGAAAGCTCAAAAAACTCGGGATGTTCTTGACAGAGCTCATAAACAGGCACTGGAGGAACAGAAGAAAGCATTAAAGAAAATTCAAGAAGAAAAACAGATGGCTGAAGCTGCCCTGCAAGAACTCTTAAGAACTCAGAGAAAATTCCATGAAGAACAGGAAAAAGTTAAGAAGAAAACAATGAAAGAAAATGAGAGAACTCAGAAGACTATAGAAGAATTAGAAGTTGCTCAGAAGAAGACTCAGGAAGAAGAGGAAAAAGCTCAGAAGGCTTTGGAAAGGGCTCATAAAGAAATCTTAGAGGAGCAGAAGAAAGTTCAGGTAGCTGCTATGGAAGAACTGGAGCAAGCACGAAAGAAATGTCAAGAAGAAAAGAAGATGTGTGAGGCAGCCCTGGAAGAACTCTTACAGACTAAGAAAAAATTCCAAGAAGAGCAGGAAATATCTAAGATGCAAGCAATGAAAGAATTAGAGACTGCTAAGAAAGAGCTAGAAAAAATAAAAGTAGCTCAAAAGGAGGCCTTAGAGAAAGAAGAGAAAGCTCAGAAGGCTCTGGATAATGTAGAAAGAACTCATACTCAGGTTCTAGAGGAACAAATGAAAGTGCAGCAAAAGTGTCAAGATGAAAAAGAAATGGTTGAGGCAGCCCTGGAAGAACTCTCAAGAGCTCAAAGACAATTTCAAGAACAGCAGGAAAAAGCTGAGAAAAAAGCAACCAGAGAAAGAGAAATAATTAATATAAAGCTAAAAGAATTAGAGATTGCTCAGATGGTGGCTCTGGAGAAAAAGGAAAATGCTCAGAAAGCTTTAGACACTCTGGAAAAAGCTCATAAGCAGACCCTGGAGGAACAAAGGAAAGCTCAGATGGAAATAGAACAAGCACAGAAAAAATATGAAGAAGAGAAGAAAATGGCTGAAGCTGCTCTGAAAAAAGTGTCATGGGCAGAGAGTAGTGTCCAAAATGAGCAGGAAAGGATCATGGAAAAAACAATGGGAGAAACAGGGAAGACACAGAAAGCCTTAGAAGAACTAGACATTGCTCAGAAGAAGGCCCTGGAGGAAAAGGAGAATGCTCAGAAAGCTCTGGATGCTCTGGAAAGGACTCATAAACAGGTACTGGAGGAAGAACAAAAAGCACAGAAAAAATCTCAAGAAGAAAAGAGGTTGGCTGAAGCTGCCCTGGGAGAACTCAGAAGAACTCAGAGAAAGTTTCAAGAAGAGCAAGAAAGAGCTGGAAAAAAAGCCATGGAAGAAAGAGAAAAAATGCAGAAGAAGCTAGAAGAATTAGAGATTGCTCAGAAGAAAGCTCTGGAGGACTTGGCAATGGCTGAAAAGATGGCCTTGGAGGAAAATGAAAGAACACAGCAGAGAGCATTAGAAGAAAAAAGGGCAATACAGCTAGCTATGAAGAAGCTGGAGACAGCACATGCTAAAGCCATAGAGGAACAGCAGATAGCACAGCGGCTGGCCTTTGAAGAACAGCAGAGAACTAAGGAGATGTTTGCTGAACTAAAAGAATCACGAAGAAAAGCCCTGGAAGAGCAAGAAGAAGCAAAAAGGAAAGCTGTAGATGAACAAGTAAGAGCTCATCATGCTATAAATGAATTGGCCAAAATTCAAAGGGAAGTTTTGGAAGAACAAGAGCAAGCTCAGAAGATGGCCTTAGCAGAACAGCACAAGGCTGAGATGATGTTTAAGGAGCTGGAAGAAAGACAGAGAAAAGCTCTGAATGATCAGCAAAGTACATGGATGAAAGCCTTTGACGATCAAAAAAGAGCTCATCTTACTTTAGGAGAATTTGCAAAGACTCAAATGGCGGAACAGGAGAATGCTCAGAAAAAAGTAGTAGATGAGCAGAAGAAAGCTCAAAAAGCTGAAGAAACACTGGAGAAAGCACAAAATCAGATCTTGGAGAAAATGGAAAAAACGCAGCATAAATATGCAGCACAAATTCCAGATCCTGTTCTTAAAACGATGAATGAAGAAGGCAATGCAGGCTGTGGTAGTGAATTTGAAGAAACACAAAAGAAAGACTTGATCATAGTTGGTAAAAAGTTCCATGTAGAACCAGGAAAAATTCTTAGGGATTTAGAGAAGAAGGATTACCAACAAGCCCTTAGGAACAGAGGGTATGACAAGAATTCTCAAAGACCATTCCCAAACTCTGTTTTGGACTTTTTCCAAACTGATTAAACTCTAGAATTCTGATCCTGAATGAACATTAGAGAAACGATGGATCAATCTTAATGTCATCTGCAAGCATTGTATTAATGGAAGTAAAAATGGGAAGGAAGAAATAAGAAGAGAAATGTATCTATTTTTAAAGGCTCTCTCCCCATAAGCAGTATACTTTGTTTAGGATTAAATTAACCCACATAGCATTGGTCCAGGTACAGATTCTTATAAACATTCAGGGTTTGGAAATGGTTCAGACAATTTATTCAGGGGGCAGAGGCAAAACTACAAGTTGGCTTTTTCTTCATTCATACAAATGCCAAATATTATTGGAATATTTGAATTCAGTAGATTTTTAAGACAGGAAACATTTATATCTGTGGAATCCTTGGTACTCTCTGAGCTTGGTTGTTTGATTGCAGACGTTTCATTACCGACTAGGTAACATCGTCAATGCTAGTGAGTGTGGGGTTTGCTCCCTGTTTATATACAATAGCTTGTCCTGCCAGTGTTTGGGGGGGGGGGGGGTTGTTTTTTCCTTGGTAGTTCCTTGATTAGGGTATTGTTTTCCGCTTGATTGTTTGTCAGACAGACACATCAGCCAACAATAGACACATAAAGATAAACCACATTTACACACCATTCAAAAGAGACAGTAAAAAAGCTAAGAAAGAAACAAAAAGGCCAGAACACATCTTCTCCAGCAGCCTGCACCCAGATAAAATGGGATTAACATCAGACAAACAGTCAAGCAGGTTACATTTGATGATGTTACCTAGTTGGGTAATGAAACATTTGCAGTCAGACAACCAAGTTCAGAAAGCACCAAGGACTCCACAGTTCAACCTGAGCTACATATATTGTCTTCTATTAATATGTATATCTGTTTTAAACATTGACCAGGCAAATTCATTATATATTTCCCCACCAGCATCCAGCCTGGATTCTTTTTATACATACCATAAAATCAAAGCATTGGTAAAACAAATTTATCAGAACACTGATAAAATAAAGTTACTGGTCTTTAGATTTAGTATTCTCTAATTTGATTCAATTAAATTTTTAAACATGTCTCTGAAAAATTCCAGTAAATAGACATTGTTTACTCTAATAAGGTAAATAGAATGTGATTAGATTCTTCCCCTCGGAACTCTCTTAATCTGCATGAGGTATGTAATCTAGAGATGGTCAATTTTTTCATATGTTTCAATAGCGAGAAGAGAAGGTCTTTGATATATTCTTTCAAAAGAATTTTTAGCAGATTTTACAGGAAAGCTGCCTTTCATAACAGTGTGTAGGGTTGTCCGCTAAGCCTTTATTCTCTAAAAGTAGATGTGAAGAGTGGGTATATTTTTGTCCTCATGATATTTCTTTTGAAGTTAGAAAATAATCCACATGAAATAGACTTAAGATTTCTAAGCAACAAAACTAATCTTATCATTTGGGGAATGATCTTAGTGGGACTTACTTCCAAACAAGTTAATTTTTCACTTATTTATTTTACTAGGCTAACTTGCTGCTGATCGAATCTGAGCGTCTTACACCAACTAGAGTATACATAAACAGGATTAAATTAATCCCCAAATGTAACCCAAATATTGAACCCACAAAAAAAGTGTTGCTCCCACACATTACCTGTTCAATATCATGCTCCAAAACACCAGGAGAGTTTTTACACTTGCTGGCTGTAATGTCGTTCCCACCCCCCTGTTGGAGGGAAGGTTCTGTAACATGCCAAAAGAGCTGCAGCTAAATATTAACATATCAAAGGCCAAGGTAGTGGTGCTTGATGTGAAAACAGAGTAAGCCACTGAACATTTACTAGTGAAAAACAAGAGCAATCACTTTCAATCGCTGCACCTTGGTAGAATACTTCCAAAAAGGGGGGGGGGGGGGAAATGATGGAGAAATGTTAATATATACAAATGCCGGTAAAAAGGTAGTGAGTGGAAAATGGTCTCTTGCAAGGAAAGAATGTTTCTTGAAATAAACAAACATTGCTGTATATAAATAAGATCATGCTTTTGCCCACTGTTATATGGAAGTAAGAGTTGAATATGTCAAGAGAAACATAAAGGTTGAATACAGTTGCAATGGGGCACTGATGGAGCAGGTGCCATAAACAAGAAGAGATAGAGACAAGAATGGGTGGGTGGATGGATGGATGGATGGATGGATGGATGGATGGATGGATGGATTGATGGATGGGGACTAACACAAAAGTGAATGAGCAGTATGAAAGAAAGAGGTTAATGTGGTTTGATTATACACACATGGACGGAGTTGATGAGATCCTCAAAAGAAAAAGACAAAAAGTTTAAAGAGCTAAATGGAAAGGTATGAATCCGTATATGGATGTCATGGAAGCAAGAAGGGTATGCAAGAATTGAAAGGTATAGAGAAGTATTGTGAATCTCGTTGAGTTCCAAATATTCCTTTTAATGTAAGACAATTCACAGAAGGAGGAGAAATTTTGAAATGTATATGTATATTTTTGTGTGTGTATGTATATTTTCTGACAGCAACCATGAGCGATAGATGATAGATAGATAGATGGATAGATAGATAGATAGATAGATAGATAGATAGATAGATAGATAGATAGTTGCTAAGTGCACTCTGTTGCTAAGTGCTGCAATCACTAAGTAGAAAATCACATGACCGAGATGGGCTTACAACATCACTTCCCATTTGGTCGTTAAGCAAGACATCACATGACCACAACTTGCTATTTTACTTCCGTGTTGTCCATTAACTCTGCTTGCCATTGTGAAGCACCCAAATGGCGATCATGAAACCACAGTGCAACAGTCATACATGTGAGGCTTGGTCACAAAGCTGGGTTTTTTACACTGGCATAACTTCAAATGGTTGCTAAGTGAGGCAGGCAATAAACAAGGACTACCTGTATATATAATAGTCAGACTACCAGATGAGCTGCAAGAATCTAGATGACCAGTAGATGCCAGCAAAATTTACAGAGTTTCTATAAATTCTAAATTTCTCTCATAGTTCAATTGGCCTGGCTTCAACTTCCTATTTATGTGTCTTGTCATACTGCCCAGTTTTACTCTAGAGGACAGAAATCAAAATGTGTCAACACAATGAATCACATCCTGTTTATTTCTGATATTAACTGAGCATATTCCTACATTTTCATTTCAACACACGGGAAAGGATTTGCATCAACTACTACTAATATTGGGAATTTACACAACTATTCTTAAAAATGTAACTTCCTTTTATTGGTAACCAATCAATAATACCTGGTGGAGGGTGGGAAAGCCATTAACAAAAAGAAATACTTGACATTATAAGAACAG